GTAGCTGCCCCCTGAAGCTGTTGGCTCTCCCCAAGGCACAGAAACCCAGAAGACAGTACAGCCCTGAAACAATCAGTCCCCCTTACTCACCATTTTGAGGCTCCCGTGGGATATGTGTGCTCTGTTTCGGACGGGAAAATTATGCTATTGTGTAGACCCTGTGTGTTTTCTATTCCTTTAGTGCGGGGGGAATCATTACTCTGTCTGGTATAAACAATGCTGCCTTTGTTAAATGTTGCATTTTGCCTATACAGCTGGAACAACCTTGAGACCTCAGCCGTCCCTCTTATCGCCTGCTCAGAGTCTGCAAAGACTCAGGAAGAGACCGCGAAAAAGCAAAGAAGACATGCTGCAAGAAGTGATGAGGCAATCTATTAAAGAGAATGAGAAAGCACAGAACTGGAAGGAGAGAGAAAGCAGGATCCGCCAGGAAAACGCAGCGCACTGGCGGCAAAGCACGGATCGGCTCATAAGCATCCTGGAGGGCCAAGCAGAGGCTATCCAGGAGCTCGTAGCCATGCAGAAGGAGCAGTACTGCAAACGACACCCCCTCCCCTACAGCCCTTGTCCCAAAACTCTTTCCGTTGTGCCCCACTGTCACCTCCAACCCACTTTCCCCAACTTCCGTGTTCTTCACACCACCAGCTGCCTCCAACACCAGTATCTTCAGCACCCAGCCCTGAAAACCATGACCCTTACCCTCTGCACTCAACCCCCATCACCGTGCAGTATAGCTATCCTGAAGTGCAGCACTTACTGCACAGCACACCAGACAGGACATACGCGAATCTGTGATTGTACTGTTCCCCTCTCCACCCCCTTGTTTCTTTTCAATAAATGGATTTTTTGGCTTTGAAAACATTCTTTATTATTGCATAAAGTAAAAGACTCCTTAGCCCAGGAAATAAACAGGCACTGCAAGTCTGCTTGTCTGCTTAGCAAACACTGATTCCTAAAGATTGGAACTACTGCACTTCACTCCCATGCAGAGCACCCGATATCACTGCTGGTTTTCTGCCTCAAATTGCTCCTTCAAGGCATCCCTAATCCTTGCAGCCCCGGGCTGCGCTCCTGTAATAGCCCTGCTCTCTGGCTGTGCAAATTCAGTCTCCAGGTGTTCAACCTCGGAGGTCCATGCCTGAGTGAAGCTTTCACGCTTCCCTTCACAAATATTATGGAGGGCACAGCACGCGGATATAAGCAGCTTCCCATACAGAGATCGCCAGCGGCCCTTTAAATGGCCAAAGGCACACTCCACAATCATTTGGCACTGGCTCAGCCTGTAGTTGAACCGTTCCTTGCTGCTGTCAAGGCTCCCTGTGTAGGGTTTCATGAGCCACGGCATTAACGGGTAAGCAGGATCGCCAAGGATCACAATGGGCATTTTCACTTCCCCTACCGTGATCTTCCGCTCTGGGAAAAAAGTCCCGGCCTGCATCTTCTGAACAGCCAAGTGTTCTGAAAGATGTGTGCGTCATGCACCTTTCCGGGCCAGCCTGTGTTAATGTCAATGAAATGCCCATGGTGATCCACAAGCACCTGGAGGACCATAGAGAAATACCCCTTCCGATTAATGTACTTGGATTCTAGGTGGGGTGGTGCCAGAGTAGGAATGTGCATCCCATCTATCGCCCCTCCACAGTTAGGGAACCCCATTTGTGCAAAGCCATCCACTATTTCCTGCACGTTACCCAGAGTCACAGTTCTTCTGAGTAGGATGCGATTAATGGCCCTGCAAACTTGCATCAACATGATTCCAGCAGTCGACTTTCTCACTCCAAACTGGTTTGCGACCGACCGGTAGCTGTCTGGAGTTGCCAGCTTCCAGATTGTAATAGCCAGCCGCTTCTCTACTGGCAGGGCAGCTCTCAATCTTGTGTCCTTGTGCTGCAGGGTAGGGTCGAGCTCTTCACACAGTCCCGTGAAAGTGGCTTTTCTCATCCGAAAGTTCTGCAGCTACTGCTCGTCATCCCAGACTTCCATGACGATGTGATCCCACCACTTGGTGCTTGTTTCTCGAGCCCAAAAGCGGCGTTCCACGGTGCTGAACATGTCCATGAATGCCACAAGCAATTTCATGTCGTACACGTTACGCAGCTCGATAGCATCATCGGACTCCTCATCTCACTGTCACTTTGGATCTTAAAGAATAGTTTGACAGCCAGA